TTGCATGGGGCAAGATATAAGATGCTTTTGTAAAGAGTCCCCTGGGGAACAGAAAGCAATTATTTAGAAGGCCATTTCATGCCCTTTTGGTATTTGGTGCCTGACTCACTATAAGAAGCCGGGGTTCTGAGTGTGGCCGGTTTCCTACCGACTAAGCCAGGGGGGCCTGTGCTCCGGAGCAGCAGGGAGGCCCCAGAGTTCAGGGACAGCGCGGATCTTCGGCGGACAGCCGGATGGCTGTGCTGCTAAGATTAGGTGAATTCCTGCCACACTTAGACACCAGGTGAGGGGCAAACGTTCATGAGTTTATATGACTTGTGACTAAGCTTATTTTGGTTTCAATTCATATTTCACTCAAGGTTATCATTTCTATAGTTTTGTTATTTCTGTACGAATTAGTGCTTCCGTCTCTTCATCTGTGGTCACCTTAAATGTCAGGAGGGCACTGGAGAGCCACCTACCACAGTGAAAACACACTCAGGCTTTGTGCGCACGATCTCTGAGATCCATTGAAACAGCAGACCAACACCTGACCTGTCTTCTCCACAGGAGCTTATGAACATCCCACGATAATAATGTGCTCGAAGGCATTTTACAGAATAGGAATATGATATTATTTACTATTGTTATTTCCAAGTGTTAGAAAAATAACTTATTTAAAATAATTTTTACCTAGTTTTCGTTTTGTTTTTTTTTTTAATTCACTCTACATATGTTGGGTACCAGGCACTGTTCTAGACTCTGGGGGCATAGAAATAAACTGGACAGCAAAGTCTCCACCATATGGAGTGTAGTTTTCAGTGGAAGAAGACAGAAAATAAATGTGTAAAGAAAGAAACATATGATCCATGAAGGAAAACTACTTAATTGGACGTCATCAACATTGACACTTTCGCTCTACAACGTTTCCTGTTAGGACAATGAAATGACAAGCAACACGTTGGGAAGGTATTTGAAAACCACATGTTCAACACAGGACTAGTATCCAGAATATTCAGTGAACTCTCAGAAATTCAACATTTAAAAAAATCCGGTTAGAAAATGGGCAAAAGACACAGACACTCAGACATTTCACCAAGAAGATACACACACGGCAGGTACGCACATGAAAAGATGCTCAGCATCATAAGCCACAAGGCAAATGCAGAGGAGGACCACAGTGAGACCACCACACGCCCATCAGAACGGCGGGGAAAAAGTCGGGACAACAGCAAATTCAATGAGGGGCCGAGAAGCTGGATCCTCACACGTGGATTGTGGGAAGGTAAAATGGTGGAGTCACCATGGAAAACCATTGGGCAGTGTCTTTAAAAAATAAAACTAAACATGCTGTTACCATATGGCCCAGCAGTTATACTCTGGGGCGTTAATCCCAAGGAAATGGAAATTTGTAGTCATGCAAAAATCTGTACACGAGCATTTACGGCAGCTGTATTCACAGTAGCCCAAGACCGCGAACAACGCTGATGTCCTTCAGCAGGTGAACAGTGGTTTGTCCACATCGTGGAACCCCTTCAGCAATAAGGAGGAACCAGCTATTGGTACAGAAACACCCTGGCTGAGTCTCCAGACACTGAGGCCGAGGGAAAAAAGCCAGTCTCTAAAGACCACAGACATCCTTGAGATGATAGCAGGACAGAACTGGAGGACGGATGTGTGGCTGCAGGTCGAAGTGGGTGTAGTTACGAAGGACAGCACAGGGGACCCTTAGGGGAGGGACGTCCTGTCTTGGCTGCGACGGGGTGGGGGGGCACGTGCTCACACACAGGGAGGGGACACAGTGACGCGGATGATGCACGTGCACACACACACTGGTGGGTACGAGTACACCTGGGCCGTCCAGCTGAGATCAGTGGAATGAATCAACGTCCCGCTGGTGGTAACGTCTATACGGTTCTGCAGGATGAGGACAGGGGTAACGAGTACGGGGCATGGCGACATCACCTGTTCAGCTGCACACGAGTCTGCAAATGTTTCAAAACACGTAAAACAAAGAAAAGCGTGGGGCGCCTGGGTGGCTCAGTCGGTTGGGCGTCCGACTTCGGCTCGGGTCATGATCTCACGGTCCGTGGGTTTGAGCCCTGCGTCAGGCTCTGGGCTGATGGCTCAGAGCCTGGAGCCTGCTTCCGATTCTGTGTTTCCCTCTCTCTCTGCCCCTCCCCTGCTTGTGCTCTCTCTCTCTCTCAAAAAAAAAATAAATAAATAATCAAGTATTAAAAATTTTTTTTAACAAAGAAAATGTACAGTATAATTTCACATAGTGACAAATGCCATAAAGAAAGCCCCACGGGCTCTCATCCGAGTGACAGTGGGTGAGAGGACATTGCCAGCAGAGCTTTGGTTGAGGGCGAAGTGTGGCCGGGAGTCTGAGGCCACCCCTACCTGGCCAGTGTCATTGGTGTCTTCAGCCAAGTTCTCTGCTAAACACCCCACTTAAGAGGTCATCCTGGGGATCCCGTCGTAACTTATCACAAGCAGCAGGTGTGATGCAAAACCGTGAGCGGCAGGAGCCATAGGTGCCTAATCCCCCTACTGTCGCTGAACAGTTGGGAAAAGGTGATGCCTTATAAGGTCGTGTCCCTGAGGGAGTCACTCATCAGTGGGTCCTCTGGGAATTCTCACGTAGCAAAAGGTGTGTCGCTCAAAGAACAGTCATGTCACTTCATTTCATTCTTTTTTAACTTCTGTTTTTAAGAAGAAATTTCTGTTTTACATACCAGCTGTCTTCAATCACAATGTTTATATTCATTTAGTAAGAAGCTTCAAGTTCCCTTCGAGGGCATTTAACCTATAAGCCATTCACCAGTGACTTTTTAATCCACATCTCGTAACGGCCCAGATGAAAACACTGACAGCCTGGGCCCCCCTTTCTTCTGGAAGGAGCGGGTGTCTCTGCCTTGTGCAGCCCCAGCCCCTTCGGGGCTCAGGGCCCAGGACAGGAGCCAGTGGCCCCGTCCGGTGAGGCGGGGAGGACAGATACAGTGACACTTGATGGGGAAAAGGTTGAGTGCAGAGTGGAGCTGTGTGGGAGGGGACAAAGCGGGGGTTCACTGCCCTGGGTTCTGAACGTGTTCTTGGAGAATGCAGCACATGCAAGAGAAACCTGTCATCTTGTCCACAAAACTCCGTTTTGTAGACGCTCATCACTTTCATGACAAACCTCCCCCCAACCATTTCTGGACTCCTGTGTGGTCAGAGTTCTCCAGCCACGGCACTGTCCAGGTCTTTCTCCCGTGACCTTCTGTGAACCACAAGGGTTCCCCCAGGTACGAAGGTACATGCTTAAAGTGATACAGGTGAATTTCTGGCGTTCCCAGAAGAGTGGGATATTGTGAAAATCAATTTAATAATGTTTTATTACAATGTGATTTTTTTACATTTTTTAAATTTATTTTTGAGAGAGAGACAGAGCACAAGTGGGGGAGGGGCAGAGAGTGAGGGAGGCACAGAATCCGAAGCAGGCTCCAGGCTCCCAGCTCTCAGCACAGAGCCCGACGCGGGGCTCGAACTCACGAACCGTGAGATCATGATCTGAGCCGAAGTCGGACACCCAACCGACTGAGCCACCCAGACACCCCTGAAAATGTGATTTTTAAACAAAGTGCCAGCAATACATTGGATGGAGTGGCTTTGATCCTAAACGTCCTTTCCTATTCACACATTTTCAACCACCTAATTGTTTTGCTTTATGTTGGTTCATTTATAAGATGTATTTAAATTTGTCTATTTGGCATTCCTCATTTGGTGAGAAAAAACATCATTTTCATAAAACCACTGTACTGAATACTGCCCAGCTCACTCTTAGCCAGTTTAGTGAGTAGCATCTCAGAACGTATTCAGAATAACTGTGTCCACTACATAAATACTGATCATAGAGGGTTGTACATAAGGCCCGTTGTAAACACTATATTTGGGTGTAACTTTATAGCCATAGCAAATAAAAAATTTAAATTATCACTTAAGATTGTATTTTGTTTTTTTAGTTAGCAGAAAGCATGCTCTTGTAAAATCTCCTCTATGGAGAGAACTGCAGGTTTTGTGTGTGTTTTTTGAATGGAGAAGGACAAACATAACCCACGTGACGGGTGCCTGATGAAATGAGCTGTGTGCACGTGGGCAGAAACATTGCGTTTGCTTCTGCAATTAGCCCTGAATCGTTCACACGGTCTTAATACTTTCCAGACACAGTCGCAAAACAACTCTCACACTCAGTTTTATAAGACTTTGTTGGGGCACCTGGGTGGTTCAGTCGGCTAAGCATCCGACTTCGGCTCAGGTCATGATCTCAGGGTTTGTGGGTTCGAACCCCTGTGTAGGCTCTGTGCTGACAGCTCGGAGGCTGGAGCCTGTTTCGGATTCTGTGTCTCCTTCTCTGTGCCCCTCCCCCGCTCATGCTCTGTGTCTCTCTCCCGCTCTCAAAGATAAATAAACATTAAAAAGAAAAAGAATTTGTTTACAGTTTTGTGTAATTTGCACATCACAAACACTAGTTTAGTTTTCAAAAGGAACTTTTCTATTATGAATCATTCATCAAGAACTAATCACTTGTGGGTGCTTGGTTGGCTCAGTCATTTAAGTGTCTGATTCTTGATTTCAGCTCAGGTCATGATCTCACGGTCATGAGACTGAGCTCGCGTCAGGCTCTGCACTGAGTGTGGAGTCTGCTTAAGATTCTCTCTCTCTCTCTCTCTCTCTCTCTCTCACTATTGCTCTCGCTCTCACTCTCTCTGCCCCTCCCCCATTCATGTTTCTCTCTCTCTCTCTCTCAAAAAATAAAGTAAAATAAAATAGATTACTCGCTCGTGATAGTAGGTGGTCCCATCCGCTGTCCCCACTCGCGACAAATCCTGTGTCTGCGCACTTGGCCTGGTTACTCTCATCCCTTTCCCTTTAAGTGCGTTATAAACAAGCAAACCTCCCTGATAATTATATCCCTCAGGTAGGATTTTTCTTTCATTATGTATGTCAACCTCATTTCTCTGCCTTTTATTCTCCTCTAGAGTGACTACATCTGGAAGAAGGAAAAAATGTAGTTATCGAATCCAATCAACTGTCTGTGTCTCTGAAATTATCAACCACATCGGGTCAAGAAAGGTTCTGGTCGGTGCCACAGACGTATGGCTGTCCAAGAAGCCACATAAAGGTACTGGTTCTATGTCATACTTTACGACCTACATGGAGCAAAATGTTTTATATATTTATCTTAAACCATCTTACTTTGAAAAAGCATAAAGATAGGCTTGTAAATGGAGGGGTTTTCTATTTACTAAAGACCATAATGTCCATTAACTTTAATAAGCAAGCTCCATTTAAAGTCAAAATTTATCGTCTATTCCTAAACATAGACTCAGAGGGTCTCCTGTTATTCGACTACAACATTAACCCCCAAATAATTTCATAGCCACATTGACGGGTCTGGTCACTCTTTGGCAGTTGTAGAGATTCCTTGGTGTAAAGCTTTTTTTGAAATCAGATCTGTATTTCCACTATCAGTTCTATTCGGGGGACATTTTATCTTTAAGTAAAATAAACATGCCTTTAATTAGGGCCTAATCTGCATTGCCCAAGGCCTTTTTATAGATTCCTGTCAATTGCTGTTGACAAACCTCTCCTCGGTGCCACTGTGGACATTGAGAGCCATGTTCCTGACAAAATTTCAGGTTCTGGCTGAGTTTGCTTTTCAAGAATTTTTTTAAATTGTGGTAAAATGCATATAACATAAATTTACCGTTTCATCTGTTTTTAAGTGTGCAGGTCAGTGGCATTAAATACATTTACAAAGCTGTGCAGCCATCAGCACACGTGTGTGCAGAACTTTTTCATACCCCAAACTGAAACCCCATGTCCGTTAAGCCCTTGCTCCCCAACCTCTCTCCCCAGCCCCTGGCACCCACCATCCACTTTCTGTCTGTGTGAATTTGACTTTTGGAGGGACCTCATACAAGTGGAATTACACAGGATTTGTCGTTTTGTGTCTGGCTTGTTTCACGGAGCACAATGTCTTCAAGCTTCAAGCTCCCTGTGGTAGCAGGTGTCAGAATTTTCTTCCTTTTTAGGGCTGAATCATATTCCATCATATGGACGGACCACAATTTGTTCACCTGTTCGTCCATAGGTGGATACGCAGGTTGTTTCCATCTTTTGGCCATTGTGAATAATGCTGCTGAGAACACGCGTGTGCAAATATCTGAGTCCCTCTGCTCTCAGTTTTCCTGGGTCAATACCCATAAGCGGAGTTGCTGGATAATATGGTAGCTCGATCTTTAATTTTTTAAGAAGCCACCCTATTGGTTTCCACAGTGGCTGCGCCATTTTACGTTCCCACCACCAACCCACAGGATTCCCATTTCGCCACATCTTTGCCAACACTTGTTATTTTCTGTTTTCTGGGTTCTTTGTCTATTTGTTTAAGAAGAGCTATCGTCACGGGTGTAAAGTGGTACTTCAGTGTGGTTTACATTTGCATTTCACTAATGACCTTTTCCTGTGCTCGGCGGCCATTTGTGTGTCCCTTTCGCGTCATTTCTAAGAAATCATTGCAGACTCCAATATCATCAAGGTTTTCCCTTGCATATTCTTCTAAGGGCTGAGGAGTTTTGACTCTTCTGTTTAGGCTCGGGTTCCATTTTGAATCAATTTTTGTTGTGCTATAAGTTGGGGATGCAACGTCACTCTTTTGCATGTGGATAGCCTGTTTTCCCGGCACCATTTGTTGAAAAGACTATCCTCTCCTCACTGAATGATCTTGGCTCCCTTGTCAAACCATTTGACCACATATGGGGGGAGTTTTTCTCGCTCTCTTTCCTATTCTGTTTCTATGTGTCTATATTTTTTTACAAGCACCTGATTTGGTTACTGTAGTTTTGTAGTATGTTTTGAAATCCAAAAGTATGAAACCTTGAATTTGTTCTTCGTTTTCAAGATTGTTTGGCTATTTGGGAGTCCCTTTAGATGCCATATGAATTTTAGGATGGACCTATTTCTGCAAAAAATGATATTGGGATTTTGACAGGGATTCCCTTGAATCTGTAGATCACATGGCTAAGTATCTTAATCAGAAAGAAATGGGGGTTTTCATCCTTTTCAGTAGTAGATTTCCATATCCCATTTCAGCATGTACCATTATCTTTAAAAATTCTTTTTTCCACTTTGAAAAAAATTCAGATTTTATTACTATTTTTTTGGAGGCTGGTCAGGTGAACCACGAGGATTTACAAAGAACATTAAATACAACATTTAATAAAAAATCTTTGCGGAGGATGAAGATACGGTTCTGTTTAATTTATTAAAACTCCACATTTCACAGGCTTTTTCCCCTTAGCAGTTACTTTGTAGTGGAAAGCCACTAATGTCATGGAATGTTCCACACAATCTGCCATCGAAGGCACGCTTGTCCGGCATTCAAGAGTTCTTTGTTCATAATAAGACCATAAGAGATACAGAAACTTAGATATCATGAGGCATCATCCAAGACGACAGTCACTATTAACAATGGGAGAAGCACTGGGTTCTTCGGTGTCATTTTCACACCACCACACCCCCACCCCGGGGTGGAGGCCTGTAAACCATGAGCCTGAGCCGTATGCTGAACACCAGCCCTGGGCAAGCCCTGAATTCCTCCCAAAGTCCCCAAGTCTAAGTGATCATTCTTCCCATTTTAAAGGCCAGTAAAGGGAAGATTAGTGAACTTAAGTATCCATCCTAGGATGACGTTATTAAGTGGCCAAGAGGGTACCTGGTCTACAAGGGGAGAGAAGGGAATTTTGTTAAGAAATCCAGATTTAACATGAATCACTAATTCCAAGTAGCCTTTACACGTCAATGTTTAATCCAAGCCTATTTCCAAGCTGAATAAAAATATTGCCAAGTTAGCATTAGAATAGGATAAGACAAAAAATTACTCCAAGAAAAGGCTTTGTTTCCAACCACGCTTCCCTGGCACAGGTACCAAGGAAGGAACAAGTGTGTGTTAATCCATGTTTTCATCAGTTCCTCATTTCTAACACTGTTGAGTACCCAGTTTGTGCTGGGAATCCCTCTGGTCTCTGGAGGTACAAAAATGAGGGAGGCACGGTCATAGTCCTCAAAGAGTTCAGATATGGAACCAACATAAGGCGTGGTGAGACCTGTGAGACCAGACCGCACAGTGCTTCCTCAACCATGCATGCACCTGGCTTCCTTCTGCCCTCCAGAGCACCCACCTGCCCTGAACCCTGTGTGGCACTCGGTCACCTCCTGTCGAGTTGACAAGGTCAAGGTGAGGTGATTTACGAGGTCTGGAAGAGATTTTAATTCTGACCAGAGAGCCCAAGGATGTCTTTCTAGAGGAGGTGACCCCAGACCTGGGTCTTCAAAGGTTAGCTCAATAAATGTGCAAATATAGGAGTGGCTTTGCTACATGGTGGAAAAATACAAAACCCAGAGGTGGGATCAAGGCACAGATATGGGTATGGGTCACTTGGTATGCACAGCAACATATTAGGACAAAAGGGCTTCTTCACTCCTGGTGACTTGTGTTTGGTGTTCGTAAAACAAGTCTGCGTGCTGTACGATTTGTGTGGTCCACGAGAGAGGCGATGTGATGTGGTGTATCTCCCTTCCCATTCAGAGGGAGCGTATAGAGTGGTCCACTCTAAGGATATGCCTTCTTGCTCTCAATCCTAGAGACTGACCACTGCTGTCTGTCATCTGCCCACCACTCTTCCCACCTCTAGCACCCAACATTATTGTACTCAACTGAGCAGATTCTAGTTTAACGAGCAGCTGTACAGCTCTTTGAACTATAGGTTCTCAGGATTATTCTTTTGTGGATCCTACTCTTTGTCGGAAAAACTCAGGTGGAAGGACCCTGGGACCAACCGCCCTTGCTAAGCAGAGGCTATCCTTCCTTACCTGTGATTCTGCCACTGCCCCTCCATGCGCCATATCTCCTGTCCCGGCAGCTAGCTTCCTTTAGCATACCCAGTGAAGAAGGACTTTGGGGCTTGCTCCTATGGGAAAAATGAAAGTGCCATAGAACAAGATTTAGATTTAGGGCAATTTTTTTGTCCTACTGTGTCCCAATTAGCCACTGTGATTGCTGAGCCATGAACACCTGTGGCATCTCTGCAGCTGGCACTCTAGGAAATCCAATTTCCTCTGAACTAGACCCAAAGAGAAAATCACACCCTGCATCCAATTTCCATGCTAAAGACTTTACTTAAAATAAAATCAATATCTGTTTCCCAAAAAACGTCGTGAATTGTGTTCTGAATGGCGACTATTTTAAAGAAAAGTGTATTGTGTATCCAGAAGGAAGAATCTGCTGAAATAGTTCAAACTTTATAAATCTGTGTTCTTTGACCCATTGAAACGAATTTATTTAAAACAACTGACAAATACCATTAGGCTTCATCCTAGCACTGCCAATAACCATTTGTATGCCTTTGGGCAGATCACATCAAATCTTTCTTTTTCTGTGAAATAAGGATAAAGGGTTAAATCAAATGAGTTGGATTACATGAAAATAATGTAAACTACAAGTGATGATAACTGTAGCTAAATATATATGAAGTCTCCAGTAGGTACCGAGTGCTACTCAACGTGGGCCATTTTAGTCCTCAAAGGACCCTACAGGGTTGTTACTGTTCTTATCCATATTCTTGCCCATGATTTATATCAGAAGAAACTACTGTGCAGAGACGTTAAATAACTTCTGCAGTTAGTAAGTGGCACAGATGGATTTCAGACCTGGGTAGGTATTTAACTTCCCCACCAACATTCTTTACTGGGGCCTGTCTCTGTCCTGTCTCCAAAGCCTAGGCAGATATTACACCCTGCCATTCTGGTGTCTATCCCACATCCAGGCACAATGTGTTATGTGTATACACATCGCACCCTGTGTGTATGCATACACGCCAAGAATTTGCAAAACTGCCGTGAGTTGCTACTCGATCACCCTGTTGTGCCTCACGGTAGGACGTTGCTAATATGACTTCAGTTCACCGCTGTCAGGCATGCTTCCCCAGAAAACAACCACATAATCTGAGTCATGCTTCGTCAAGGATCAGCTCTAACTCATGACATGGTGCCTTCCAACTGTTTTCACGACAATTCATGCACATTGCTTAAATAATTCTCGTGACTTTCGTTGCTCCCCATTTT